GGATGTCATCTCGCTTCTTTCCCTACAAGAAACGCTTCACCCAATTTTCACGGCCGTTGAGTCGCACTTTCAATCGCTTTCCTCGGCAATCTTTTGATCGTCTTAACCATTGTCTCGAACAAAACAATGCGTACCTTGGCACATCTCTTTCTCGTGAACGTCGCTATCGCAGATTTGTTCTTCGCGACGCTGAATATTGCTGGACACGCCACTGAGCATTTATTGAACGAGCAGGCCCTAATTAAAAGAGACATTTTGTACGCTATACAGACCTATAATGGAAGTAAGATTGGTAGCGTACGCCGTGTCCATGTTTTAAAAGATTGGTAATTCTTCCAGGGGAATTTCTTATTGTTAATGGAACTTATTTAAAAATTGATTTTAATATTAGTTAATTTTGTAGAAGGTTGAAAAGCCACTCTTTATGACCGCTTTGACAAGAAGTATTAGAACATATTTTATCTACTTATGCGTTTCCTTTACTGTCTCTTTGGTCGTTTATCATTTAACGGAAAATTCCGGAAATTTCGGTCAAAATGTAAATGGAAGGCGAAACGTCTTGAAAGGTAGTCCAAAATTTCCAACCAAAATATCCAAGTGGAAAATGTGCTTACAAAATGTTTGTTTCCTGTAAATGGTTACTTTTTATACTACGTAGTCAATAAGAACATTAAATGAAAATGAATTTCATTATACGATATAACCGCAGAATTTTATTACCCATCCCGATTTCACCTTCGCATCACTTCAGATGGTTTGTAATAATAGAAGAGCCGGCACTGGAATTTTCCTGCAAATGTTTTGCTACCACAATCCTGATATTCCAATAAATTCTCAGTAGAGAGCTCACCCGAAAGCAAACAGTCTTATCAAAGTTCCGAACCTTGCAAGGAAATGAACCATTTTCACCAAATAAGGCAAATTAGCACATCCAACCTTTAAGGTGAGAGGGGGCAGTCTGAGTGCAATGTGAGGGAATCTTCAGTTGGCTTGCCCTCTGACGACCACTTTGTAGCGAAGGAATGTTATCGTCATTATTATGAAACCTGTTCTTAGGGAATCAAAACCATGCAACTAGCTAAGGTATGTATGGCAAATGTGCAGTAAACTTTTTTCGTGGCGAACTTAAAAAATCTGCTGAGAAAGGGTGACGAAACGAAATCTTCATCACCGACCACTATGGAAGACCAATGTATAGATTTAGCCAAGCCTAAAAGCTGAGCTCCTGATTTCATTGAATTAACCTGGTTTGAGCGTGCGATCCAATTGCAAACCAGTACCTCTGCAGCTGTCAACTTCAACAAACACGTGACTTCAATGAGCTGATATGGTAACGGGACACTCGTCAGCAGATACCTTATCTTGACAGGTGTCAATTGGCTTTAACATGAATGAACAATATCAAAGATGTACGCTGTTAACCAAGGCAGCCTATTAGCTGGAGTTTGGCCGCCATTTTGTGCGACGACGTCGTCGTTATCGTCGTGCGTATACAGTACCGCTAGCCATGATGACCATTAGGAAAGCAACTCACGGGTTCCTATGAGTATGGTGCTCCGCTTGGCGAGAATGGTCGCCGGAGCTCCGTTATAATTATGTGCCATTTATTAAAGCCGTTCATTATAAGGTTTTTGTTTTCTATCATTCCTTTCAAAAAAAAAGCATTCAATCAAACAGCGTTGCGGCGTTTCGAGCTCTTTGTCTTTTTCTGAAAGAAAAGCTTAAGTACCTTGACAACCATCAATATGTTGTCATGAAAAAAAATTGGAATAACAAATTAAAAGCTTTCATGGTTAAGTTTCGTAATGAATATCGGTTAGGATGAAAAAGCTTTTTATAAACCAACGCGAAGCCGTAATTTCTAAGGCAATAGCATCACGATTGGCAATTAAGAGCAGATCTGTGATGTCATAAGGAAACTAAATTAAGAGGCTGTTGTTAAAGGTGGTGTTTCGGTCCATATCCTGGTCTATCATGATCCCCCTGTTTGATAATTTGCAATATTTATTTCTACAGCTAAATCGGACACGCACTAAATGCGCTTGTTTTAATATATGCTACCATTGTCCGACCTTGGCCGGCGTTCTTGCAATTGTGTATGAAAGATGAAATGGTTGCCGAAGACCATAATAATTTCTTTTAAAAGTAATATAGCTACACTTAGTGTAAATTAAAGTGTTGATTCCAGTGCTGTCAATTTTTTTCCTTTCCAGTCACCGAAACACTAACCCTACCCTTTGATCGAGAGTACAGGGTCAAGGACAAATAGCTTGTGATTCTGAGTCGATTCTGCAGGAAAGTTACATCTTATTTTGAGAAAATGAATAAAAATGTGTTAATCTTTGTTAAAACAGAACATGAATGGCGAGTGTTTATTTAAAAAAATTGTTGACTCAAATTTACACTGCCGAAAGGTTACAATCTCCATGTTTAATCAGCCGCGGGGCCTTTGAAAACCATTACTTTTCTTACGGGGTTTTCGACTCCTTTCCTGTCTGCATGCAGCCTCTGCAGTGTGTAATCAAGCAACGCCGAAATTACTGATATTATGATAAACGGTTCCGAGTTGACCATTGTGCGTTACGTAGCGCGCTACATTTTTAGTTTTCGAGTGGGATCTACCAGCATTAATGTATTTTTGGGAACAATGTAAGTGAAAGATTATCTTTACAAATGTCAGAAGCACAAATGAACTATAGTGCCCTTTATCGTGTTAGCTTACGAGAATTATTTGGGAGCGGCGTAACTAGAGATAGAGCACACGTCAATTGCGCGCCATTCGTATTTTAGGACGACCTCGCTTGCTCGAGCATCACTCGCTCGTCGACCACGGGGTAGAGCTCCAGTACCATTGAGGGCATTTCATTGAAATTGACCTGCCAATAAGGCCATACGCTTTTGTTCCTTTTAACAATTTAGCACAAGGAGTAAAAATTACAATTACAATGTTCTCTTTTCCTTTGCGCAATCTGCGCCATTCTCCGTTCAGTTGGGCTGATTGAAGTGTCTTTTCTAAAAATAATATTGGTTCGTAGTTTGTTGATACAAAGCCGACATAAAATGAATAAGAGAAATGTAGATATTGCTGCTATTCATTGAAAGCGCGGATGCAAATACAGGATGGTTGATGAAACAATGATCATTTGTTTTCATTGATACCACCTTTTCATAGAATCTTAAGATATATTGCAAGCTGACAAAAGGTAGTCAGTATAAGCAGTCGTGGGCTGATTGACATTTTCAGCAAAATTTTAAGCCAGTGGTTTAAGTGCACTGAGTTTCGCTAAGATAATTAGGAGAGAACATTCAAAGGAAGAGAAGGCAATCAACATAAGCTTATAAAGGTAAAAATTACTATTAGTGTATATAACAAAAGCTGACCTCATTAGTCTCGTTTGTTATAGTTTTGATTGACTTGTAACAATTTGAGTCCAGCCTAATATATTCACCCGAACTGGACCAAAAATGTACCAGTAAATCTTTTTTTCATTGTCATGGTTTAAGGTTTTTTGAGCCGCTCTTCGCATTTAAGTGTCGGTTTTATATCGATCAGATGTGTCTGACTGAAAACGTACGCCAGTGACCGCCATGTCCAGATGACTGACTGACGACTGCCGGACTGGCTTTTCCTGCCGGTTTATGCCTGTTTTCAAATGTGTTGATTGTTTTCATGAACGGCTGAGCTGGCCAGACCTTGGCCTTGTCAAGGATGAGTTAGAGCCAGAAAAAAGTTCACAATTTCACTGTTCCTCGTAGCCTTGATTTATAAGGGGTTTTCAGCCTTTCAGGTCAAAGTGATAACTCATTCAAATGCAAATCCTGCACCTGCCAGTTGAAATTGGATGATTTGTTTGTCCAGCAACTTACAAGGGCACTACGGTGTTTCCTGAACGTTGCAAAACTATTTATTTCCCCTTAGCGCAACAAAATGAAATCTTCTTAGGACTCATCTTTGAAATTTGGCGCGTCATGATGACATTGAGCAATCACTTCGCATCTGACGTCATCGATGCTGTCACGTGCTCACTGTCACGACTGAAATGTTTTCAAGTGAGTCGATTCACGGTACACTTCTAAAGGTAAGGATTCTGCGTTTTTCCGCCTGACTGTTCTTATACTTCGCTTGAGTTCCGGTCATATAATATGTTATGAATAAGTAGTGAAAGAATGCGGTCCGGAAAAGCTTCCCAAACAAAAGCACTCTGTATTTCGAGGCGACACGCATGGCTGAGGGCACGGTGGTTTGATGGAGTTTGAACTTTCTCGCTCTGTAGCCGATTGTATTTAATTCCGGCGTGAATTGAATTTCTCGACGCACGTTTTGTTGAGTAGTGCAAAGGTTTCTGACTACTAATGGAGACTTAAGTCATGATTTGGACGAGTTTGGAAGTTATCACGACAGATAGGCTGGGATTCCTCGACAAGCGCGTCGCCGAGAGCAGGGTTAATTTATTTTGGCGCGCTTGTCAAATTTCGCTGAACTGATGTTGTGAACTGCATGTTGGTCTGTTCTTCTTTGTGAACCTGCTCTGTCATTCCACCGTTGTTCTTTGGTTAAACTGGTCAGAACTAAGCGAATTTGGAGGTTTGTAGAAGTCGCAAATTCGGCGGCTGTGAACACAGCGATCGGGGATATTTTGTTTACAAAATGTGACACTAAACGTAATGGTTAACAAGAGCTGCTGAGAGGTTTGTTGCGACGAACAGATGTGATGCAGCGCTCTCTGCTGCTCAGTTTCTCTACTTAGTAATACATATATTGGATACAGAAGTATGTGCCAGCTTTCTTTATCACCTAAAAGTATTTTTGTATTCATGGCGTGCTCAGATAAATGGGTCTTTTATTTGTAAGGAATGAATATGGTTGACTAACCTTTTATCCAGTTCTATATTTATAAATTGTCTCTGCGATTTGTCGCAGCATAACCAAACGATTTGATCTGAGGGCACAGGTACTGAGGATTTGTCTTCCAAATGTCATGGCCCCTTGTGTGGGACAAAATTTAAATGATCTCTCTATTTCAACTAGTCATTTCTTGAATAAACCACTTGTGCAAATCACCTTTGTTGTGAAAACACTATAGGGCATTTGTTATAAATTTGCTCTATTTTTATCCTACCCGAGTCTATGGTTTTAATGAGGAGCCTCTACATGAACTTTACAGTAGGTCTGCAACAAAATTTGAAACACTACATCATGTTGGGGACATCAAAGAAATTTTTGTCTCTTTCTATTGGGTAGTTTCAACCCTGAGCAGTTTTCAGTCGTTTCAGTTTGAGTTTTGAAGCTTAACTTTTCAAGTAAAATAAGTTATTCCACCATTCCCTACCAATGATTGGATCTGTAGAGTTTATACTGACAGTGCACAGGACTCCAATAGTATATAAATTCAAGTAAAACAGGCTTTTATTTTTCCTTCACTTGGTTTAAAATTTTCCAAAGGGTCTTGATAGTAGTAGACAAGTCAAGAATTTTAAGAAAACGACAAAATGTTTGAGTTTACAAACATATTTGGACAGAAACTTCTGTCATCCTCAGTTAATCCAAGTACAAAGCACTTTTTCAAACATCTGCAAAATTCTGAACATTGTCGTGCCCTGTGTTCTACAGATTGTTTCCATGTTTTGGATCACGCCTCCACCAGTTTTTAACTTAAAAGATGCTATTCATATTCAGAGAGAACAACCCTCTTGGAATCAACAATTACACCATGTTAATGTAAAACTATCTCTTTAATTCTCGCACTTTCATGCTTTGCTTCATTCTGTTGTTACTATTTATCACAATTAGCATTTTCTACTTGTTATAAATCGAGCTACCATCGCTTTGTACTTGGATTAAATGAGGATGACAGAAGTTTCCGTCAAAACATGTTTTGTAAACTCAAAGGTTTTGTTGTTTTTCTAAAATTCTGTTTAAAATGTTGTTGTAAAAGTATTACCTTCATAATTATAAGCACAGGAGTGTTCTAACTTCTAGTCAAAGGCCTGTTTGCGAAAAAGTAATTTTTTTCCTTAGTTCGTGTGAAGAGTCTCAATCAGAAGTTGATCAGAAGCACAGTTTGTAGTGGTAATGGTTTATTTTATGAGATTTGTCCCTATAAGTGTGCATGTTATGTTCAGCATTCTATAAAAGTCTTTTCAAGTAATCTGCATCAGCTCTTGTGTGACTGCTAGGAATACATGTATCTACATGTATAAAATAAATAGGAGACTTGTTTTGCCCTGATTTTGAACAAAATATTCCTCATGCAAAGGGGAAAATCAAGCAAAAAGTGAGAAAGTCCTGAAGCCTAATAGTGCATTTAACAAGCAACATGGCCTGAACACTTGTGGCAGTCTCTGACATGACATTGTGATAGGAGTGGCATGGATATTTTCTGGCATAAGTTAAGTATAAGTATTTTACTCTTTAACAGGTTTGGATTAGGAATGGAAAGAGATTTGAGTCTGACTGGATCCACAAAACGGAAGTGAGTGCTATATTCTGAATACATAAGTATATAAGCGGAATTAAATGTATTGACTCGGAGATGATACACACTCCTTATATGATGTTATCAGTCTCACAGCCCTGTACAGGCAAGAAAAACTATGAGGTGCTTACTTAATGTCTACAATGACAGTATAACTTGTTAAGACATCAAAAAAGGGAGTTATTACCATAAGGGACTTTAAATTTGAGTATGTATCAAGACTGAGTACAAGTAAGTAAAATTAAAGTCTGCATATGGGCCAAGTGGCCCACCAGGCTGGAGCTTATCCTGGTTTCTGTAGCATGAAGTGACTAGGAGTATTTCTAGTCCCCCCTGGATGGAATGCTAATCCATCGCAGGGTTACCCCCAGCATTAAGTTCGCTGGTACCCATTTATACACCTGGGTAGAGAGAGGCACTGTGAGAGTAAAGTGTCTTGCTTAAGAACACAACGTAATGTCCCTGACCAGAGCTCGAACCCTCATCGCTCGATCTGGAGACAAGCACACTAACCATGAGGCCACCGTGCCTCCCATTGGGTACAAGTAGGACTTTTCAGTTGTAGTTTGCAGGTGTCACATTATCACATCACAAACCAACATGAAGTGTAAGGGCTCTGTAAGCGCCACTTGTTCGAAATTGTACTCAAACTCAATTTCGTACTCTAGTCCAACCTAAAGGTTCCTAATATTCTACAGTGTAACAGCATCTATTTTGCGTTTGTCTCTTTTGGGTAGGGGGTGGAGAAGAATATCAATCAAAAGGTCAATGTAATGCTCTTTGGTGGACTTCTCTTTTCCTCAAAGGACCACTCCTATGAGAGCTTGTGCAGAAGGTCACTGTTATCCGTGTAGGCCTGTAAAAAAAGATTCATTACAGTTGAATTTTCAAACATCAGGCTGCCTTCTCATTATAAATTGACTCTGGCAGTAGACAGCATTTTCAAGACTGTATAGCACATTCATACAGCAGAACCATGTGTGGGAAGTTGTTAATGCATGCCAACAACAACAACTTTGTTATGACTCTCATATTTACAATTTTACAAGAATATTTGCACATTAAGTTAAAAGAGCTTGACAATAGCAGCAGTGCGAACCTGCAGGTAGCTTGTGCTAATCTAGATGGGCCACATCTATATTACCAAGTTTATAGAAAGCATCATTGTAATAAAATTGCAGTTACTTGTAGATGATTTTCAAATCTAACTTTTTTTTACCTGAAGTTCTTGTTTACAAGTTCAGTCTGCTATATTTGATTGTGCAGAGAGGTATCGACAAAGCTTTACTAATGTTTGATTTTCATGTAATGTTTATTTGTTCTTTCATTTGTTATTTTGGGCCTGGATGTCATGAAATTTAACTCAGACAGCTCTAGTTTTGTTTAGTACAGTCTGCATAGCTGCCACATGTTTGCAATAATGATGACCATGTTTTATTTTGTTGCAGACTTAATTTTGATGAATCAAGTTATGATGATGGAAAAGGTGAGAATTTTAATGAATCATCCTGTACTTCATGTGGTTATTTTCAAGAGGCAATACAGAATTTCTTCCAGATTATAATTTTAGTGCATTTAAGTGTAAGTGAGAAGTTGAATGCAAGTTGAAGACTCAGTGTGGTAGCATCGAAAAAAAAATGTTGTTTGTAGTGGTCAATGCGCTTAGCTGTAACTAGCTAGTTCACAGGCATGCTGCTTTAAATGAAGGAAACAAATATATCAACTAACCGAATAGGCTTAAAAATCCGAACCAGCGGGAGGCAGACCAGTTGGCTATTTACAAGCATGACCAAGGAGTTGAACTAGGGTCTACCAAGAAACAACTCCAGCTAAGTGGTCAGAGCAGGACTTGAACACGCGACCTCCAGGTTTCAAGTCTGGCGCCCTAACCATTCGGCCACACTGCCTCCTAATGCAACCTCTGTTTGGTGTTTTCTTTTAGTATCTTTTGCACCAACTTACTCAAGCAACACATACTGTACTAGTCGTCAATTGGCTGAAGGCTATTAGTGTTTTCTATAGGGCTTGAAATAATGGTTGGTCAACTGACAATGTTCGGACTGATTGGGAATTTGACCAGTGAATCTTTCATCTTGCCGGTCATGTTGACCAGTCACATTCAGTTGTATTGAAAATGAAATAAATTAAAGTTTCCATGCTGTTCAGTTTTTTCAGTTGTTATCAGTATGTAGCAAGTTGCTGTGTATTTTGGAACTTTAATCTGAATTCCCAAGTGAAATGCAACTAGAATCATTAACAATTTGCCCATTCAAACAGACACCAGAGTTTGCACACTTCTAGTCACAAAATTAGAAATATTTTTACTTTTATTAGTTAATTTTCAAGTTTCACATTTCTCCCTGCATATAAAGTAATTCCTCAGCACAGAATAAATATAATCAAAGTATAATGCAAAGGAACTATACTTTATAAAACCAATAATTACTCCACTCTTGGCAAGTTTATCTATGCACTTATCTGTTGCATTAAAATGCCTGGTTACTAAGCTTTTTCTCGATGAATACAAATTTTCTTCTTTTGTAATGGGGAGTAACATGGATTACTGGCAGAGTTTTAGGTTCAAGATCTCACACCGTGATGCATACACCAGAAATCATCATATTTAGAGGCACTGGACGAATTAAATGTATATGATAACTTTATTTAATGTGTTACAGGTTAGTCTTACAGACATTGTACCTATTAATAGACTATTAAGCTTATTTTCATTTTGCTGCGGTAATTTATTTTTACTGTTGACAATGAGTGCTTTAAAGTGCTATAAGCTCTAGGCAACAACTTTTTTGGAAATATATAATACCAGTTTGGTTCATGGGCTCCTGTTTTAAGAGTTATTTATCTTATAAATTTGACCAACCAGAAATGACACATGACAGAGCTAAAATGAATTTGGCCGGTAATCGTATCAGGAGACTCTCCAGAAATTATTTCAAGCCCTGTGGGTTATGTTCTTATGATAAACACTGAATGCATGGCCCCAAGGAGAACTATGAGTTTTTTTCCTTGGTGAGAGTACTGACAGAGGCAAAATGCATCGTCAAAGGAAAACAACACTCACAAGGTTGTGATATGCAGTGTACAATGTATCCTATAATTGGCAAACATATTGTTCAGGAGTTTCATTACTATTTCCAGCCGGAAGGCAATTGGTTTTCACAAACAGGGAAAACACTTTGAACTGCATTTTTCTTTGAGAAAACCTTTCCTCCAGATGGAAGGCAAGCAAAATTGGACGGCTGGTCCTTAATGAAACTCCTAATGTTGCATTTCTAGTTTCTGATTTATAATCAGCATTATTCTTAATCTGGTTGACTGATCCAGATGTTGTGGAATTGTTTGTCTTATACCTTAGTCATCTGTGATATAATTAATCATTGCATCTTTGACTTTAACCAACAGGCAAAAGGTCTCGGTTGCAAGTCACAATTCCTAGGCTACAATTGTCTCAAAAACAGGTGGAGAGATTACGAAAAATCTCTTCAAAACATCTGAAAGCACCATTAACAGCTAACAAGGAAGTTGACGAGGAAAATGTTGCTACTGTGAATACCAGTGTCTCCTCAAGTGCATCAACAACAGAAACAGGATCAACAGAGACAACAGTAGTGAAAGAGCCAGTAACGACAGTAGAAGAGAGTCTACTGTCTACCTCCCCAAGTGCATCAACAATAGAGACAGTATCAACAGAGACAACAAAAGTAGTGAAAGAGCCAGTAACGACAGTGGAAGAGAGTCCCATCAGACACCGGTTGACAAACCTCTTAGATGGATCATCCCTCAGTCCATTACAGGATAGTGTAGCGCACTCTGATGAGGACAATGTCAAAAGCATTAACTGCAAGGGAGGAGGTCAACTAAACAATGCTGAGGGTTTATCAGGACCAGTGTCAACAGAGGAAAATTTGTTTTGTTCAAACGAGCTCCCCTCCTCTGACAATGGCTTATCACCTTTAATGCATGAGGAAGATTGTATAACAGTACCTTGCCATCCTGATGTTGTGTCGAGGACCTGTATGCAGGTTGAAATAGGATGCACTCAGACATCATCTGATAACGACAGTCAAGCAGCCGATGTCATTACTGCCTCTGAGCAAGATAAAGAAGTAAATCATGAAACGGACCAAACGCTGCAACCTTGGACGACGAGTGTTCCAGAGGAAGGAAATGAACCCAGAAGTGTTTCCCCGGGTAGCCGTGACATATTAGGTCAGCTTTCCAATAATGCTCTGCCAGATGAGAATGAGGCTGAAAATGGAAATGCTGAAGAAAGCAGCGGTGTGATGTCGAGATCTGCTGAAGTACGTGCAGGAGATAGCACGATTGATTATTCAAGTGACTACAATACGCTAGAGGTTTGTGGAGCTTCTTTGCCTTTCAAACAATGTGGTGTACATGTAAACGGCATTCTTTATTTTCCTTAAGTCTCATCCTTTTGGCCTGTTGCATACTTACATTATTTTTGTATTAATGGATTCAATATAGGCCATGAATACCTTACTGACAACGGTCACTGAAGAAAAAAGAGCCAGGACAGAACTAGAAGAACTAGTTTCACATCTAGAAGAGAGAAATAAAGAACTTCTCTTAGAGTGTGTAAAACTGAGGGACCTTGTGAATGACTTGCTGCCTTCATCCAAGGTATGGATCCATATGTACACACCCCTAATGTATGCTACAGTCAGAGCAGCAGGGGCTGCCATTGGTAACTCTTCATGAATTAAAGCACCTCGAGAATTCCTGATTCTTATCAAATCAAATGATAGTACAAGCACTTGAGAGTACTTCAACAGCTATCATGCCATCATGGTAAAGTAGGAATTAAAAAGTTGTGTTGCCTAACAAATTCAGAACAAAAATTGTGAGCTCAGTTCTCAAAGACTGAACTTTGTTTTCAACTGGTACTCGTCGAACAGGAGACAATTGCGTTCAATCAGTCATTAGTGTTTGAGTAGACTTTTTTGCGTTACGTAATCCTTCTGTGTAAGAGTTGCAATCGTTCGTGTTTCGCATATATTACGTCAACTTAGCCCTTTTTTTTGTTCACTTAAATAAGTTTTATTTTAATCCTCGGCTTGTACAGTACGGATCGGAACTTTTTGGACATTTTTGAACATCGAGGACACTCGGACTGTCAAGGCATCGTTTTAGAGTTTGGTTCTGGTAATCTTGTGTAATAGAATAAGTGTTTATCTGGTAAGCACTCGTTCCACTGATTGGCTACAGGCACCCATGTATGCTTCAGTAACAATAGACACTATTTTTTGTAGGTTAATATAGATGTATCTGTCGTTGTCTTTTCTAAGAATTAAAGAGGTTGGGTATTCAACTCTTGTAAACCAATCTCAGAATCTTGTTAATTTATTTACAGGTGAAAAATGAAACTGTTTCAAGAGGAATTCAAATCAATATGGACTTAGTAAGTACCTGAGAGTTCCGCTGTTTTCGGAAATATCAGTGCTTTAATTATTGAATATTGCGAAAAAAAAATGATCCAGCTCAGGTTTTTTTAGTGTCTAAAGCTACCATGGATGTGTGAAATCCATCAACACCTCAATTGGTTGTTTCCTAGCGATTTTGAAGAAAAACTTTGTGATCTTAACATTCATTGTATCATTTTTAGAGCCTCCGCCGAGGAAGAGCTGTTGATAGAGCAACATCACCCTTGAGGAGGATACGAGAGCCATCTCCTGACTTAACTATCCTATCATTTTCAACTGGATGCCAGACAGTTGATCTTTCAAATGAAATGAAGTCTACTGCGTGTCAAACTGATCCCCCACTGGACGCAAGACTACTAGCAACGTGCGCAACACAAAGTGTTTCCCCTGCTCGAGTTCAAGGAATTGTCATGCCCAACGTCCAAGGGAGAGCTCCAGTGCAAGTTCCTAACCATACTCAGGCATCAAATCCAGTTCAATTATCGTACAGCCAAACTCCTTCTTTCCAACAGCAGAGTGCTAAGGTGACAGTTTCTCAACCACTGGGTATGCAATCGCAACAAGGACATACCACTTGGCAGATGTTGGCGCATAAGTTGGCAAATATTTTGCAGACAACAGGTTATAATAACGTTGCAAGTCCCCATGCTACTACTCTTAACTCTCCTCAAGTCAATATCTGTCAACCAACAGGTGCAGCATTGTATGCGCAAGTACCTCAAAATCAATTGATACCCATATCCTCTCTTACAACCACGCAGATGTCCAGCAATCAAGCACTTGTGGGATCTAACCCAGCTGCTTATAGTGGTGTTTACAATACCGCCATTCAACGAAATGCAATAAACTACAACACCCTGTCAACACAACAGGCCACTCGACCAGATACGTTGAACCAATCAACAGGGCAGAGGTTAAATTTAAATATGGCTACATTAAGTCCATTATTTACACAAAATCAATTATTGGCACACAGTAGTGCATCGTTAACACATCAAACCGTCTCTTCTGCTCAGAGTACATCACACAACAGTAGACCTGCCCAGTTTGTAGGCGCACTGCAACATTCTACTCGGCAACAAACGACTCCAACTAGTTCATTGCAGATATCTGCAAATGCTAAATCTGGTGTTCGAGATGTCATGCTACATCTCGCCGATGGCATGAGACGTCAAATTACCACTACTACGGCAGAATCATTAAGACACCCACAGCAACCATTAGGGGCATCTCTTCCAAGTAGGATGGTTTATAATCAAGTAACTACCCCACAGCATAAAGAGGGACTGCCTTTACAACATCAAGCATCACCACCTATAGGGTCACAAGTACAGCAACACACATTACGAAATTCGCAGCAATCACTAGGAACATTTCCTCAAAGCAGGGTGGACTATAATCAAAGAACTGTCCCTAAGCAAGCAGGGGGACTTCGTATTCAACATCAAGTGCCGCAACCTGAGGGGTCACAAGTAATGTCGCACACTCGAACAAGCTCCGCATTATCAAGAAATTTGCAGCAACCATTTGGAACATTTCCTCAACGTAGAGTGGGCCACAATCAAGTAGCTGCCCCACAGCAAACAGGGGGACTTCGTATACAGCATGAAGTGTCACAGCCTGAATCTTCTCAAGCACACCTACATGCCCAACCAGTACAACAGAACAATGTGACCAGGATGACTGGACAACAGTCTGATCAGACCCCATCATCCTCCCGAACATCAAGCACTGATAATCACCTCGCAGATAGACTGCTTGAAGACGCGCTAGAGCGAAGAGCTGAAGCTCACGTTGAAGCTCTAGTTCGGTACAATGAAGTTCAACTTGTTAACAACGAGCTACAAAAGAGCTTAAGTGAGGGCACTTATAAGCAGAAGCAAACTACCACGACACAAGAACCTCGATATTTGGATCATCAATTGAGCAAGTTGTCGACGAGTAGGAATACGCCGCTTTCAAATAAACAACCTCCAGATGCGGACCGTAGCACAAATTCCTTGTCTTCTGTATCGGAACAGAGCCCATTGTACTGCCATACATCTGCAAACCAATTGCCCAGCCAAGTGAGTCCCAGTCAAAACCTCAGTAACAGTACACAGAAACGCTTAGTTCGTTTCAGTCAAGAAGGAGACTCAAATATACCAGTTGGTGCATCTTCAGGAAATGCAGGTGGGTCCAGCCATTTGGGAAGTTCAGTCGTAAGGCAAACAGACGGCAAAGATCAAAAAAGCCCAAGGCAAGATACCTTGTGTCATCTCTCTATTGATAACGATCCTTACAAGGTGCCACCCAAAACCCCCAGTGGTGCATTAGAGGATGTAGTTAAGAAGCTATTAACCTTACAGAATGAAATCGCTAGAACTGAAAATGTTTCTGGTACTGGGCGTGTATCATCAAACTCCCTTGCTGAATCAACGGATGGTACTTCTAAGGCAGATAACACTACCGAATCACAAGAGTCAAAGCAAATGTTAGGAATGAGTGAAAGCACTGCCTCGTCTGAGAGAGATTCAAACAAGGAATCTTTCCAGCGTTACTCCAGGAATCCTGAACATAATTCTGCAGAAACAGTATCATTAAATCAGGGAGCAGATAACCAAGGGCTTGTTAAGGACCAACACAACAACAACTGTTGTTCATCTCGTAATCAGGACAAAGCCAGTGAAGACACTTCAGTTTCTCCTTCAAGTCACAATGTATTAGATACTGACTTTGACAAGATGCAAACAGAAAATGAACCACCCTCGTCTGTACGTAATGTACGTAATGGAAATGGCAATGCAGCTGAAAAAGAAACTGAATATTTTCCGGCCACTGAGGAAGAAGAGCAAGGCAATGATGATGGTGATGGACAGGACAACAGTGTCGGAGATTGGCAAGATTGCTCTTCACCTTGTCTATCAGGTCTCGCTAAAGGAACTGAAAATAAAGACCCACAAGATTCAGATGATGCTGAAAATGATGACAGTTCCCAAGACATTTATGCAGCTATGATGTCTCCTATTATACCACGAATGGCTGCAGCAAGACGTGTTCGCTCACGCTCAGATGTACACACTACAGAGGATACTTGTGATGTGAACACAAACACCTCAAGCATTGATTCTCCAATAAAGAATGTGAACAGTGAAGACCAGAATATGGAGTGTGATCCTGAACCTAACCAGACCTCAGATGACAGAGAACAGGGTTTTAAGGATAGCCAGCTGGAAGGTATTAGAACGTGTGCCACAGTGCACAGTGCTGATGTTCATTGCAATCAACAGGAACATAGAAGTGACAATGAAAGCAAAAGTGAACAAGAGAATGCAGTCAATGACCAAGAACATGTTCCATTATCATTTGATGTTACCATGGAGGAAATACAACTGGAGGAAGATACACAAGTTTCTTCAACTGGCGGCATTGTCACAGATCTCAGTGATACCCAGCAGGCTACATGTAACACCAAAATTCAGGAAATGCCCGAAACGAATCTCCCAGAAGAACAACTGTCAACAGAATTAAGTGAAGGACAGAGAGATTTACCGGCGTCTGTGCCTGTCCTAAATGCTAATGTGAAGTTAGAAGCAAGTGATGGCCCATGCATGGGTGGAGTAGCTCAAGCGATTAATAAAGTAGGCCAAGATGAACAATATCAGAAGTGTCAGGTTAATCCTAAAGCGATTCCTAAACAAAATTTTGTGTACCTTAACAGCACTTTCCAGGAAACGCCTATCGTAAGAGACTTTGAAGAGATCAAAAAAGCGTCATTTACATTACCGTCGTCCAGTTCTTTGTTCAAGGAAAATGTTGATGAGAAGGGCGTTTGTCGAGTCTCAGTTGATTCCAAGACGAAAGTAGAATTTAACAATAAGAATACTGCAATAAACAACGAACCTTCCCCACCCTTAAATACATCTCCTTTGCCGGTACCTCGTCTTGCTCTACGTATCATGAACGGAAATACTGTGATTATGTGGGACCTGCCTCCTGACAACAAAATTACCGACATTAGCCTCTTTGAGGTATACGTGTTTTTGAAAAACAAGGATGAACGTTTACGGCAGAACCATACTGGCCGGTGGATTAAACTCGGTGAAATGAAAGCTATGCCTCTTCCTATGGCATGTACGTTACGCCACGTAATACAGAAGAATGTTTTGTACTCCTTTACTGTGCGAGCAGTAGGCAGCAATGGATTGGCTGGACCATGTAGTAAACCATGCTCTTTGAGCTCTATATAACATTGGTGGGTTCTTCAAAATAATTCTAATCATTTTTGTTTTAGCATCTGTTGTGTGTTGCACTATTATATTTGTTTCTAATTCAGTATTAAAGGAGCTGCGTCACGGTTTGTGCATCTTGAAAAGTTCAGACTAAATTTTTCAAGTTTGTCGTTTGTAAAACGCGTTAATGTACTGCATGCTTAATCAACCTTGTTCCTTTATGGTTGATTACTACCTCTTTAGTACCTCTCTATCTTAGTAAACTACTATTTTCAGGTTTGTACGAGGTCAAACTAACTCAAAATATCGTGACTGAGCTCCGTTAAATAGTTTACTAGATTCTTGATGGAATGAGTGCCCCTATTGTAGAGAATCTCTCCCAGAGAAACAATGTGAACAGTGTACGAAATATTTAATCAACTCTGGGTGTTTCGAGCTTTATGCAACAACCAAGAACGTATTTGAGTAGGATAATGTTTCTTCTCTTCATAGATTATCTGGCTTTCATTATAGACTATCCAACCATTCGTTAGGACACTTCCATAATACGGGCACCTCTCTGCTATCTNACGGTGGCGATGAAGTCACATGAAAACCAAGAAATTATAACAAAAACCTTAATATTATTATAGATACATGAAATCACCGTGGTTACCCATTTTAGCTGGTCTTGTCAATCCAAGAGCCTCCATGATCTGAACAAACTCTTGTTTTGATTTAGTAAGTCGTGGGTTGTACTTCAATTCCTCACCAACAGTGGTGGTTGTCACACCTAAAATAAAAATGCCTTAAATTCTCACCAAAATACTGTCTGAGCCTGCGTAATTCTTCAAGCCTATTGTGGTCACCAGACCACCTTTGAAGAGCTCATGATTCAGAAAATTATTAAAGAACTCCATCCATTGGCTTTGAGTTGTGACAGAACATTTTATGTAGTTATTGACCAAAGTAGCTATTGTAAATGTTTGCTTTAGAGTGGCATTGGTTAAAGAAGAAAAGTGGGAATGGCAGAGGGCAGTGAGAGAGAGAGAAAAAAAAGAAGGCACAACGCTAGGTTCACCGTCTCCTTTATTGGCACTGAAAAACCAAAACCATGCTATTCATAAGTTGCTTGAACTGTGATGGTAATAGTCGAATAGCTCTGATTATTTTTCTATGAAAATCATTATGTGTGACAATGAGTTATATTCCTACCATGTAGATAGTAAAACAATTGCATTTGTAAATCATGGAATTCAGATTGAAAAGACGAAGTTATCTAAACAAACAAAATTACCAGTAGTGTATTAATTAAGTGTTCTACAAACCATAATAGTCGTGAGCAGGATAGAGCAAATAATCTTCAGGCAGTGACAGGATCTTACTTCTTNTTAAGTTAAAGCTCTACTAAAATGAGAAGGTTTCCCTAGTTACCATATTTTTTATTGAAGTACATAATTCAATGTACATTTAGAAACAGTATATTGCTGACATCTGAAAGAGCTTGAAATGGCTGTGGAGACACTGATTGCCTTGTTCCTAGACCATTTGTAGCTTATTCTCACACTTCCAAGTTTCAATAACAATACAAGAATGGAAACTCTTTTTTCCTTCATTATTGACTGAACAAAAGCAAAGTACAAGCTATAAATAAAAGCAATTTCCATGCAACCCACCTGGAAACTTAAAGGCATCCGTGGTCGAGTGTTGATCGGTACCCTCAATTGACCCTTGATCGATACTTGATCAACACTCCATTGACACCTCAGTTGACACCCAATTGATACTCCATCTACGGCTCAGTCATGAGTCGACTAAATTTTCAATCAATTAATATGTCAGTTGACACTCGGCCGACTACTGACCCTCTGTTGATCAAGTGCTGATAGAGTGTGAACCGAGTATCGATCAGGATGTGGACTGAGTATTGATCGAGATATCGATCGAGGGTGTCGATTAAGAGTATCAAATTCAACACTTGACCGTGCATGCCTTTAGAACAGACACCCTGCAAAATTAACATACACTGTACTTACAGTAAACTGCCACTGATAAAAGTCCAGTGGGCTTAATAATTTGTAACTTCGTGAGAGGTTATGGATTGGCCTTAATAAATGGGGTGAGGGGGGCTTAATTATTTTATGTGGGAAGGGGTTATAAGTGGAATAAAAAGAAAAACGTTTTGAAATGAGCTACAGCAGTGTTGATTGAAATCTGTATTAATAGTTGAGCCTTAATTAAAACATCATAATAAATCAACCTCATTTCATTTGAACTAGAGGGGGCCAATATCCAAGATGGCTGATAATCAGAAGCAAATTTTAAAGCCAGTGAGATATCTTGCGATTTTACCGACTTTATTAAGTGTAGATGAAGATGTAGATTTTTGGTTTACAGGTAGATGGACTATAGGCGGGGGAACGGCGTTTGTAATGGGAGCGGGGAGGGGGGGGGGGAGCTTACAAGCAAGGTACAGTTTACGGTAAATCATTGACTTACTTGAGTATCAACTGGATCAATAATAACTGCAGCCCTGGTCTTGGGACATCCCAGTAAATAAGTGTAAGTATAAGACTCCAAGTCAAATAACTACAAAAGGAGACACATAAACAAGATTAGTCGCCATCAGAAATCAGTGTGTTCTGAACAGATGAAACATGATGGCCATCCCCCACACACGCCCCCCTTCGCATTGCCTAACAAACGTCAGAAGATAAATTCATAATTAATACTTGAAAAAATCTAAATTCCCTTCAAACAAAATAATATATGAATGTCATTGTGATTTGGAATCGTTAAAGAAACGTGAAAACTAGCATGATTACTCATATTTTACTCTGCTGAAGAGAAATAAGTATATGTGTTGCCCAAGCACCAAACATTTTGCACAACCATAACACGGCAAAGTGTCCCTCGGGGGCAATTGTGAGCCGATCGCAGCTTACCTGCCTAAAGATAACTCTAGCTCTTCCCCCAGCCATGACAATACGATCACCTCAAAGTTTCATGACCGCAAAGACAGGAAATATATTGCTACACGTCCTTTTATCTCATATCTGAAGATAAGGTTTGTCTCCAGTCTTCTCTCGTTACTCTCAGGCGCCCAAAGTATTCTGGGATGCATGTTTCTGTGCCAAAATGGCGGCAGATTTATTTTGCATTAGAGTTTGTGTATTATTTGCGTCTTTTCTAGTCTTGACGAGGGGACAAAACAACAGGACTGTATTTTTACCGTCGTCTACTTCAGGTAATTCGTGTACAGTGGTTTTGATACGATACGTGTTTTTTGACACGATCTGCACTCGTCGTTTTGTGTAATATTTGTGACCTTTGCATCAGAATTTCATCAATTGGCTATATCCGTATGCGTATACACTAAAACGTGGGAAAGCTCATGAATGCTAAAGGAACTCCTCCCCTAAGGGATCATCGGATCGCTCTCGTCCTTGATGGGTATCCGGTCGTGTAACCCTTAACTCGATTAGCCCGTTAGCCTTTTTAAGCCCCCAACCAAAAGTCGATAAACCCTTAAAATAAAAATACAGAATGCAGAATGCAGAATACAAAGCTTAGCTTGGCCAGGGCTCACTTTAATAGCATGGTAACCAGGGGTGCTTTCCATTATGCCAGAGCAACTGATCAGAGACCAGCGGGATTAACCAAGCAAAATCGAACGACATTTTCTATGGTCACTTTCAATTTTCAGCCAATCAGATTTGGGTTGATTAACCTCTGACTCTGTGCAGAATGACTGTCAAGCCAGGAATTGTTCACAGGTTGTCGAACCTTGTGCTGACCAAAAGAATCACAGCCTGAAGAGACAACAATGGAAATCCTGCCTTGCTCAGAGCTTGCTTTTTGACTGGATTCTACAGTTTTCCTCTCTCCTCAAAAATAGTTCTTTTATTTGAGCAATATCCTGGATTTGTGAGACTTTAAAATCATGTTTCACTATTAATTAAGCATTGGTTTTATAACTGTAGTAATGTAAGTGTACATGGATGTTTCATAGAGGGCTGGAGTTGTACAAGATGATCTTGACTAACTAAATCCTTGTTCGTGTTTTATTTGTTTTTTTTTTTTAAATTCTATTATTTTTTTATCCTGAATGACAGGTTGCACCTGTGATTTGACTGGTAATGGCTGTGATGTGAACTGCTGTTGTGACACTGATTGTAGCACAACAGATCAACAGGCATTTACAGAATGCAAAGAAACAGATGTTAAGTATGTATGTTTATTGCAGTCATTATCTAAGCTTCTGTAGGATTGTTTTTTTAAGCCATTAAGATTTGTGCTCTGTACATGTACACCTCACTGGTTAACGACAAAATTTAAATTTCATTTGTTTCCACTAATGGAATAATGTCTAAACACAATCTGCAAATCTTGACCTTGGCTAAAAATGTGCGGTTCCAGAAAATATCCATACTCCCCGCACAGAAGGGATTGGAATTTCCTGGGGGGTGGGGTGGGGGGTTCTATGAGGCCCCAAAATTTAAAGAAATGTATGAAGCAAGAAATGTATGGAATTTCCAGAGGGGTGGGGAGGTGTTAGAAAAAAAATCCCTTCTGTGGGGGAGGTATGGATATTTTCTGGAACTACACAATATTGTTCTACTAAGTATTGTGCTTGTACAGAGTTGAAATAATATATTTTAACACAGGCCACATTACTATCAAGTGACACTTTGGAATTCCTCTTGGCCTAAAACCAGTTTGAAACAAGTCATTGTTATTACTAAGCCTAAAAACTCATGTATATGCATTTATTCGAAACAGTTTAATTTGAGCTGATAGGCACAATGGCATAATGGTTTATGAAGGCACCCCTGAAGGTCTACAGTAACCTTAACACCTTATATGAACTTATGATGAGCAAAAGGAGTAAATTTCAAAGAGTTGGGTGTCATGCCTAAAAATAACTTATAATGGATTACCTTGAGTATAACGCCTATATGGGGGATTCACTTTCTTACATGTACCTTGATCTTCTCTTGTTTCATATTAAAAGATTTTGCAGCAGACATCTCTTTAAAATGAAAGGAAAAACCAGCTGACACATTCTGTAGCTATTTGGTCTAAATATCCCCTACAGTGCACATTTTGCAAACTCGAACCGACTATTATACATGGCGTGTATAATACATTCCTTGAACGTTTATTTTTGTAAACACTCTTCCTTTGTAGCCGGGATAGCCGTGTATGTGTTTCCAGTGAAGTTATTTTCAAGCAAAACACGAAATTTACAACTGAAACCACAGGCACAGGACTTTTTTGTATTGTCAGGGACANTCCAGTTGTTTTATTCTCATAAACTCCAGAGTCAAGTTGAAAACTGCAGTAGATATTTTTAAAATTGGCATATTGGATGCTTCTAGTATCACTCATGTAGGTCTGTAATCCATGCTAAGCTGGCAGAATGTAAAATTTTTGTTATTACACACATTCCATGCCTATTGTGCGAGCTGATTGTTCTTAAAAAATTTAGCCTTTCTCTAGTCTGAAGCTGTCACTGTAAAGCTGGTTCTTTGTTTGTGTTCCAACAGAATCCAGCTGTTGTCTCAAGCAGTAACAGCAGCTCAAACTCAAGCAGCAACTCTAGTAGCTCTGCTGGAAGCACGCCTGATCAAGTGGCTGTGCTATTAAAACAGCCTTTATTATGCAAAACACACCTTGGTATACCTCGCAACTGTTCCTTTACAGAGCCGCCAAATCCCACTTACGATGCACAAAATAACATGTGTAATGATGTTACATTAGAGGTAAGAAGAAATGTTTTATTCATGTTTTAGTTGATACAAGGTTAACCACTGAGGTCCCATAAAATAGAGCATGAAGATTTACATGTTATTTTGATTTAATCTACTGAGGACATTTAAGTGAAAAACTTATCAAATCTGATTCGTTGAGAGTGGTTCGATTTCTGGTTAATTCAGTGCAACTTTGAAATTGAGTACTGCAGTCTTTTGCAATCGTCAGTTATCTTTGTAAATCTTCATTAATCTTTGGTAAGTTTTGAAAAATGTTCCGAATCATTTGTGTGGTCTCCAGACAAGTTTTGGAAAAGCTTTGGAAATCTTTGGAAAGTGGTGACTGAGAAATATTTGGAAAATCGTCATAAACCTTGTTATTAGCATATTTATGTATAATTTGTGAGGATTGTATGTATTAAAAGGAAAATCACTTGGTTGCTTGGAAATGCCTGTTCTCATGTTGAAAAACATTTGACTTGTTCCCTTCAACTTCCTTTTCCGGGCTTGTTCTTGCGAAGAGAAATTTGGTATCTCTGCCCAGGTATGAAATATCCTCTATATAATACAGCGAAACCTGTATTAAGCGGACCCCTTATAAAGCAGACACCCTCTATTAAGTGGACACCAGCTTGAGTCCCTAAATTGTCTTCCCACATTTTCTGAAAAATAAACCTGCATTCAGTGGACACCTCTATTGAGCAGACACCGACACCAATATTAAGCCATTTTGTTGCGCAAAACCTGCAATAAGTGGACACTTGAAGGGCTTTTTACCTCTAAAGGTTCAGCCAAGACTCCTTAACATTGCTCAGTGATGTCGTTTTAAAGCTACATTGTAAGTGATTATTCCAGATTGATGCATTGATTGACTGGACATTGTGCTATGAGCAGTCTTTGATCTTACACTGTGTTACACTGTGTTACAAAAAGGTTAACAATTTACTATTACTGCAAAACATATTAGAACCTATTTTGAGCAGATGCCCTGTATTTAGCGGACACTAATGAGGGTCTCAAGGGTGTCGGCTTAATACAGGTTTCGCTGCATAGTCACACATATACTACAGCTGTACATGTATGTCTTGTAAAAAGCTGAAAGGGCTCAGCTAGGGTTACTTTATACCTGAGATTCCTCTTACCAGATAGGAGGGAAAGGCTACCCAACACCCAAATCATCTTGCCTCTTTCTGAATTAAATATATCTTTTTTTCTCTTTTTTTTTCCAAGGTATCCTACACTGTACAGTATGCCAATAGCTCAACTGATATTGTATCAGCGAAGGTAGAGTTTTTACTGGGGAGTGTCACAGCGCAAGGTGGACTGGACTTGAGACAGAAAGTGTCTGTCAGTTTTTCAAAGGTACTACTTGTGAATTTATTTCAGTATGGTAAATTGCACTTGCACATTCTATGCGACAGAGAATTTAATGTACTAAAATTCTAGCTTGACTCCGAGACTCAGGGGAATAAAATAAAAGAAATAATTCATCCCTCAACCTCGATGTGATTTCTTTTTTGTTATTCCTTCAAACCTTAGAACTGAGTTAGAATTGTAATATATTAGCCTGTGAGCAGTCTCACGTTTGGGGAGCCCGAATCGAGCAGCGAANTTAGTTTGTAAGTTTAGACATCATAGTCATATACATCCACTTCTGATGTTAGTTTGTAAGTTTAGACATCATAGTCATATACATCCACTTCTGATGTTAGTTCGTAAGTTTAGACATCATAGTCATATGCATCCACTTCTGGTGTTAGTTTGTAAGTTTAGACATCATAGTCATATACATCCACTTCTGATGTTAGTTTGTAAGTTTAGACATCATAGTCATATACATCCACTTCTGATATTTTAATCAAAATGTCAACAGCGCGTGTGAACCTACGACTTTAACATAGACTACGATCATCTGTAACGTAATGTCGAACTTTGCCAGACCAAGTTCAACATTGTGACGTCGTGTTCGTCTTTACATCCCAAAGTTGAATGTTGAGCTCTAAACGCGAACCCAGAGCCGCCAATAATTATGGGATATCCAAAATGACGTCATTGATTCTCGTAGCTTCACGCACGTGGTTGCGGTGTTCGGTCGCGGTTCTCAGGGATTGTCACGTTTCTCAACATTTCACTCCTTGATTTACATAAATGGAGAATCAGAACAACGGCCAACTGAACCACTTACTAGATACGCTTCTCCAGCTAGCAGACCGGCTTACCTCTTTGCAGAACAGCCAGAATAACGACTCAGAAGGTAAGGTCAGCTGAATATTTAGATCGAATAAGCAACTCACTGCAGCTTGCATTCCTGTTTTAATTCTTACCTCAGTGTGCAGGGTCGAATTGACTAATCATAGCGAAGGCTGCTCGATTCGAGCAGGCTTGACTATGATTGGCCCAGCAATACAATGGGTAGACCAGTGATCCAGCCGTGGTGTGGGACAAGGAACGCGGGCTCACAAAACGGCTGGAAATCGAACCTACACCCTAATTAATTATGCAGAACCAACTCAACTGTGGAATGTCTGGCTGTTAAAATTATCCAATCAGAATCACGCCGTTTTTTTCCCGGCAAAGTCTGTAGGCGCCAATGGGTTTTCGTATTTCTTGTTTTTATTTTTTGCGAGAGAAAATGAAATAATTTGAAGACCTTTGGAGGATGGAAAGAGCGAAGAGAGGCCGTCCCAAAAAAGAAAAACCATTCTAAAACTGTTTGTAGAGCTTGCCAGGTGAATCTAAAGGTAATATATGGCAACTGTGTGGCAAAAACATGTGTAAATGTTTAAACCGTCGGCGAGAAAAGAAATATTTGGAGTTGTTTTGAGCGAATCTCTGAAGAACGTTGGGATAACAGTGATTACTTCTAACAACGATTCGCAGTTGGCCTGTAGTGCCTGTTATCGGAAGATCGAGAACTTGTGTGAACTTGTTCAATTTATAGTATGACGTTTAGCGCAGAAGAGAGAAGAAAACAAGGAGAATTCCGAAGGTGCGAGGAGAAAGTTATTTGACGATTTGTCGCCTGCAGTACGCGGTAGTCCTGCTAATCGCACAACCGTAAGAACTAACTCTCCTGAAACAGAAAGCAACGAAAAAGGAATGACAACGTCGAATGCACGAATTTGATACCATTTTTTTTATAAAGATCATAGCGCTTCCTCTAGAAATAGTTCGAAACGATCCCTTGATTTACCCACCATGTTGAATGAGTGAGAAGACCCCAATGCTCTAGAATGACAGGTCGCTGACCAATCAGAACAACGGACTAAGTGATTCATTAAATCTGACCAATCTGGATCCCGTTTCTCGAAGGTCCTGAAAAGTTTTCGCGCCCTGAAAGTTCGAACCTTATGATTACAGAGCTGTTTTATTCTCATATTCTTAACATGAACAGAGGTTTCCTTCATACAAGAAGTTTCAGGCGTATACACTTCTTCGTTTTTAGATACTGATGAACTGAAAATGGCCTTAAGGGCCCGAAAAGTTTCGGAGGTTTTCGAGAAACGGGCGCAGGATTTTTACGGTCGACTGGTGGACGGAAGAAACGAAGAAAACAATAAGGTCCTCACAGGCCGTCCTTCCTCGAAACTTGCTCGATCCACCCGCGTTCATTTTGATCCTTTCCCTCCCGTTCTATGGCCTGCCGCGCAGGCTACGCAATGGTTCAATCTGTGTCATAGTATTCTGAAGGGCGAGTTTGAGGACATATTCGTAACAGTAGACGTAGATACAAAGCGGGGAGCACTCTTCCATTCTTGTTTAGAGTCCCTTGTGTATGTAGACCGTTCATATTAGCTGCACCATCGAACTGCTTTACCAAAAATTTTCTTGAGGTCCAGATTGAGTTCAGTGATAGCAGACTTCACCAGTTTATACATTGCCTCGCCTTCACTTGATTTTCTGCAATAGAGACTTCTGAATGCTTCTTTCTTCATGCCATTTCGCGCAAAATACGTAAATTAAATTTCTGCAATGCTTATAAAGTGGACACTTAGAATGAAAAAAAAAATCAAAATTCTTACAAAATGAAGCTATTTCTTAGTAGTGACCGTAACTTGTGGCTGACCATCATCAGTCCCGCGGCAAACGGAGCCTGCAGTAACTCGACTGAACGTACCTCGGTAACGTTTGGAGTGGACATGCGTACTGGCTGCACTATCAGGTTACACTGGATATANTTGTTTGTAGGCAGGTGGTGCAGACACTACATTCTTGAGGTCAGGCAACCCTGGTTACATTGTTGGTGAACCTCTCGTTGCTGGGACACTTGCCACACTAGACGACAAATATCCTTTTGAACATTTTCTAATGAACTGATTCAAAATTCGTCAATGGCTTGTTTTTGTAGTACTGATCCTATGTCCTTGCAGGTACTGTGGTTTGAAAGCATGACACCAAAAAATAATTCAGTTACAGTTACTAGCCCATGAAATAACAGCTCAAACTAAATAACCTTGATATCTTGTTTGCTCCTTGTGTGGCTCATAGAATTACTAACCTACTAGATAAAAGTCTGGAATTTGCAATGTGTGGCCAACACCCCACCGACTCTTAAATTATATGATACCTAGATGAGAAAGGTTTAAATTATAGTTCCATCTGACCTTAATGAGAATTGTTTGCTTGGATATCCTTGACATTTTATCAGAGAGGCGATTTTTCTCAGTAGTGACCGTAACTCGTGGCTGACCATCATCAGTCCCACGGCAAACGGAGCCTGCAGTAACTCGACTGAACGTACCTCGGTAACGTTTGGAGTGGACATGCGTACTGGCTGCACTATCAGGTAAGACTGGATATAAACGGCACCTTGTCATCCCTTGGCAGGGATTATAAGGTTGTGTCGTAAAAATTAAGTGGCCCCGGGGTAGTTTCAGCCGAGTCGTTTTTGATCCATTTAAACGGCGTACAAAGCGTTGGTTGGTTACGAAGCCCTTCTGTTCGTTTCAAGTCGCTCGTTGGAAAAATAGTTGGAACGTGTCTTGCGTTCAATCTATCACACTGTCTCCCCTCTTTAATTTATCACTGGTGAATGAACGGCTTATTAATTTAATACTCACTCATCAAGTCATCATATCTACATGGAATACTGCTACTCCTAACCCTTCAATCCCTAGAATGAGAACCTCAATCTCTCTAATGTTTATGGAGGATTCAGCATCGAGTAACAAAGGGAAGATAAAAGTAAACACTACTCGGGTTTGAAGACTCAAGAGTGCTCTGTTTTAAAGCTTCCACTGAGATCAACAGCCGTCAAACACTACTAATCTCCTTTGTCTGTCTTCGACGTTTTATTTCCAGTGTTCCATTGACTCTGAAGGGTTCACAGTGCAGGTTGATTCAGGAGACAGTGTTGAACACACTGATAGGAGATCCGCCCACGTACGTGGCCTCTTTTGGCAACTCAGATGTGAATAGCGTGGGAGACTGGGTCAAGATTCTCAACACAAGACCTGTCAATGAGGTAAAGCGGTATTAGGAATGTCTCAAGTGGGTTTTTCTTGTTGTTTAATTTTATTTCATGGCTTTTTTTCATTTTATAGG